TATTGACTTATACCAAACGATGTTTCCCATAGGAAATCAGAGGGAAATGATTAATCCTTTCCCATGATATAACAAAAATGGGATTGTTACTGGCGTATTGACAGTTGTTCATTGATGGGAGTTGTATGAAATTATGCAAAAACACTGCTCAACTCTTTCGGCTCTCCTCCGAACTTCGTCCCCATACTATGGCGGCCAAACAAAAACCCCAACAGGTCCTCAGTCACGTGTAAAATTCAGAGTGCCTGCAGAGGAACAAATCGCAGCAAAACTAGGTTTGCGTCCGAATAACTGGCCAATATTATCAAGGGCAAAAAAATACTCTAACAGGGTCTCAGCAATATGTTAACTGTGGACCTGTTTCTGCGACAATGCCGCCCCGCTGACAGTATGGTGGTCTAAACTAGATGGCTAGGACTCACGAGCAAATAAATTGGAGAAAGTTGCAGGAGATGTAGTAGCTGCTGCTCGTAAGTCCTAGCCATCTAGGTTAGGCCCCCCCCCCCCTCATCCGCTCTGCACAGGGGTTACACTTAACGGTGAGTTTAATCAGAAAAACACTATCACTAACCTGCGCCAGAGCGCATGGTCTCCCCGCCATGTCACTATTTTCGTGTGTATTGTTGCGTTTCTCGAAATTGTCAACGGACAGTAATCCTAGTTTTGCAGTGATGTGTTAGTCGGAGGAAGTCCGCATTTTACACATGACTGAGGCCCTGTTAGGGTATTTGTTTGGTCGCCATAATATGGGGACGAAGTTCAGAGGAGAGCCACTCTTTCTTTGGGTCCCAGGGAGTTTAGTTAAGCCTTAAAAGCCCAAGGGGTGGTAATGAAATAGGTTAATTTCACAAATAAAGCACAATTGAAGCACCATATCAATTTAACTGCTGTGCAAAATACACAAATATTCAATAAAGCGACCAGCAGCGTTTGTTGAGGAATAATATTAGAATACTGCCATAATAAATAAAACAGACAGTATGTTTAGAGAAATTAGTTAAATGAAATGAAATAATTTTTCAACTTACCACCATGGTGCTTCAATAAAAACTTGATAAAATATTTCCAAAATGAACATGAACCACTTGGTGATGACTCCAAATATTTATAAGATCTTGTTCTATAGAATCTTCTGAAGTATCATACTGATTTAAGAATCAACATCCTAGCACACCAGGAATATCCATAGGTACTCTGTCTCTCGCAGCAAATGACATAAGGTGTAGATGCTAACTGTTCCCGTAGCACACTGAAGTTTCATAACAGAGTACCATTATTTGGTAAAGAAAATGGACTATTCAAAACGATTAATATCTTTACACAAAATGAAGTTTATGTAACACTCAGTTTGCCTGTAATTTTGCAGCTATGTTCCTTCTTATGTTCACTTTCCGATTTACACTGACAGACAAGTTCTTGTGATAAACTTGATTGTTTTTAGGAGTTCCTTTTTAGTTCAATAAAACTTTGTGTGTATTGTTGACTTATTAGGCCAGTATTCCCTTTTCAATGGGCTGTTTCAAGAGACATTCTTGCGGGACATGTTCTGTAGTCTGTACACACAGCTTAAATAGGCACAGTGGTGAACTACATAGGCAAAGCCTGTGCATATGCTTGTTAAGTTTGTCATATCCTGTCCTGAGGCGTAGTATAATGTTGCCAGTCAGATAAGTGGTGGTCATCTCTGACCAGATTCTGTTCACTTCTGATATGCTGGATGACACTTTTCTTCTCAAAGTATGTTACTGAATTTTCTTCCTGTTCACATTCTGCCCCTTTCTTAGCAAGTTTATCTATGGTTTCATTTCCACAGCACCCACTGGAGTACAGTATGCTTTTGGACAACCTCCTTGCTAAGTTCAGATCTCAGGTTTGGGAGTTTACCACTCTTGAGGGCTTGGAGCACCGAAAGCACATCTGTGCAGATGACCACTTGGTGGCAGTCAGAACTGGTGTTATGAAAGATTTCAGTAACCTGCTCTAGTGCTAGGATCTCTGCTATGTAGTTGGAGCAGAATTTACCAGTGGATATATACTTTGTGTACCAGTGATTGTCTAGGTATGTGATAAAGAAGCCAGCACTCCCATTTTTAACCCCACTGGTAGCTGTGTAAGCATGTGTCCCTGACTGTTCGGGATAGTTTTCCTAAATCAAGCTAAGAGCAGCTGATCATTTTGTAATGTCATTGGGCTCATCTCCGGCTGTGAGTCCATTGACTGAAGTGATTATCTGTTTTATTGCTGACTTGCTCCCAAGGTGCAGAGTATAGTGTAGGTTTTAGCTGTGTTGTTCTCATAAGTAGATCTGCTTGGTACGGTCTTTTAAGTCTTTTCGCCTCGATGGACAGAGCTGCTACATTTCTAATTAATAGGGAAAATGAGACGAGAACTAACTGAAGCTGAGGAAAGTCTTTGTTGTCATTGTACGCTTTGCACAAGGCACACATCAGAGCTCTTCCCTCATCAAAGTTTGACTATAAATGACTGAAACAAGTCTACTTCACAACTTTCTCCATCTAGCTTCAGATAAACATGTTTCATTTAAATTTGAGGCTTCTAAAGCAATAAATCATGCTGGCATGTCGAATACTGCTTGGCGGCCAGAACATTTAGTAACTCAGTGAACCTTGCAGATATACTGTATTTTACGCTTTTAACCACATAAAAAAAAATTATGATTGTCAACATGTGTGCTGTTAAACACAAAGAACTGGAGAGGAGGTTTCGATTGTGTGTTTCTTGTTTTTAAACAGGTCATTAAATTAAAAACCTGTGCTCATCATGCGCCGATTGGGCGGCTGGATAGTAACCAGTTAGCTTTCCTTGGGACTCAAATAATTAATAATAATATTAATCAAATACTGTTAAAATACATAAATACTAATTCTAATTACAAAAATTTAAAAGAGAAAAAAAAAGGAAAATTTAACCTAACTTCACCTTCCCTAGAAAAAGCCGAGTGCATACTCAGATGATGCTGAGAAAGGAGGATGAGGAGATATTGTTTGTCCTCTTCCAGTAAAACTTCAGGAATCTGAAATTCTTGTGTTTTTCTTCTTTTGCTTTGCTTTTTTTTTTTTCTATCGCTTTTCCCTGCATGGATCTGGATGAGACTTGTAAGTTCTAGTGCGTGTCTTATTCCCAAAATAGGTCTGTAAACCTACCAAGCAAAAATCCTGCATCTCAACAGGACGTAAACCATGTTGTACTTATATCACAGCAGACGTATGCCAAGGTAGAATCAAAAAAAAAAAAAAGAACGATGTAGTGAGATACCATTAAATTTAAAAAAAACAATACATGAAGTGCTGAATAGCTTTGTCTGCTGTTTATCCCCAAAGAAAGCATAGGCTGTCATGTATTTATAAACATTTTACATCAAACCCTCTTGTTACTTCTTGCTGAAACTGAAACCCTGTGTGATTTTTCCATATGTTGCATCTCTAAATATGTTATCTTTTTTTGGGGAGGGGGGTATCTCAACATAAATATTCTATTACGAGGTTAAGTATTTTGGTAAAATATGTACAATATTTATTTACATTTTAAAAAAAAACATGTGGAACTGATAAGTATAGCCCATAAATACTAGGGTATAAATGGTTAACCCCCCAAAAAATGTGTAAATTCTCTGGGAATTTTTAGAGAGGTAAGTACACGACTCTGCTGTTTCTACAGTGAAGGTTATCTTCTCTGAATGGGTACAAGCATTTTGAATATTGTAATAAAAGCAGTTAATAAGGAGTTTGCCAAAACCAAATGCGTTGGGCTGAAAAGTGCAGCTGTCACAACCTAGCTGTAAACCACAACACAACATGTCAAGCACCCTTTCAAAGGTAAATGCAGAACATGAAGGTTGGATGCAGTATAATTCAACAACTGTTGTGTCTCTTGCCACTGTACATTTCACAGACTCCTATTTGCAATATTAACTCAGTTGCAATGAATTACCTATTGTTGACCTGACTGATTTTCTCATCCCGTATGGTTTTTCAAAGAGTCTCAGTACACTGTAGAATGAGCTTTTCAGAAGGGTCAGATTTCTTTACTGGGCTCCGACCAAATGTAGAAAGTAAGAGAAGACATTTAGCGATGGTTGGGATTGATGGATAACGGTCAGACACAATCAAACATTACTTTAACTTTACAATGTAGAGTTGTAAGCTTTCAGCAGACCTATGTTTTGTAACCCTTTGATTGTAAATTTTATCCTTTGGTCAGATTTACGTGAAGTTGAACAATCACGTGATGGATAAAAGTCTTAAGCACTTAAGCTGATTTCAGAACTGGTGATCACTTTAGCTGTGCTAAACAGAGGTTGCCACTATAGGTAAAGTACAAGAGCTAGGATAACCTGATAGACTTTGCCATAACAGAAAACCAGTTACTGTCAGTATATATTCTCTCTCTCTATCTCTTTCTCACACGCACTCTCTGGAGACCGTCATTTAAACGGTGCCACATGACATGGACTATACAGCTATGCTACCATGATCTACTTCGCACATTAGGTATTCCTGTTCATGCCGAGTCCTTTAATACAGCAGCCACTCCAAGTTATCTCTACTGATTGTTCCTATGAAAAGATGGTTGTAATGTCCTGTCTTGGCCTTGAAGTTAGCATAGACATACTTCACCTGACTTTACTCCTGGTCACACAGCTATGTTAGAGTCATAGATTTGACATTATTCATCAGCCTAGTCCATACAGTGTTGATGATATCAGCTCTGTCCATGCTGCTTCCTACAAGCAGTGGTGAATTACTTGCTAGTTGGTCAGCTTTTTTATTATTATCTTTTACACTCGCTTGACTAAGTGTGTAGATCTATGTGATTTAGGTTAAGTGCATCTTCTGAATGCTTTCTACCTATTCAGCATATAGAAGAAGAAAATTGTAAAATAAATTGCATAATCATAATTTCAATTATCATACTGTCACACTGTTTGTAATGTAACAAAATTTAAAATTAACTTTTACATTTTATAACAGAATAGAACCATGCCCTCAGAATTTATTGGCTCGCTGGTGTCTATAGACTGTGGGCAGCTTGGAGCCTATCAGGGCCGTGTTGTAAATATTGACCCAGTTATGAACACACTAACTATTTCCCATGCTTTTCGTAATGGACTTTGCTGTGACCAGCCTGAGATCAGTTTAAGGTAAGTTGTACACCTCTGAATATTAATTGTTACAAAATAATAGTAAACAGATATCTGTATGGGGTAAGTAAAAACCATTTTCATGCCATCAGGCATTTGGTAAGAAAATAAGTAAATGGTCTTTTTTCACGCCAGTGGTGAATTGAGCATATGATGCCAGACCAGACTCGTATTTTGTAGACCAAACTGGCACCCGTTGAGGGATGTTGTTGTGAAGTAGGTGGCGATATTACACCGTCGTGTATCCCATTCCACTAACTACTCTACCTTGTTTCTAGGCTTTATGATTAATTGAGGACCTTCCTTTCTGGGTCCAGCACTAGTTAAGTCTACTAAGAACACCACCAGCTGGTTACCGAATCTAATAAATCGCTCAAGATATGATGTACCAATGTAATCATTTGTTTTTAATATGAAGGAACACATGACGACGATGAATTGATGATGTAAGATGAATGAATAGTCTCTAGGTCGCTGTCATTCAGCAAATAAATCACTCGCTCAGTAATTACTGGCACAAAGTCCAGTCAGTTCTCAGTTTCTATAACTTGATGACTGAAACCTATAAGGTTCGCACCTGAAGTCAAATACTTGTGCTTAGCTAGCACATTACACCAGCACAAAGTCTAAACAGGTCTCCCCAGTCTCCACAACTGGATAAAACTCAATACACCCTTTAACTCTGTGTCCCAGTAACTGCTACAAGTGCTTTCTGCCCGACCGTGCAGAATCCATCTCTCAATTTTTTGGTGTCACTGTCCATTTGAAGACACAATGTAGTCTCACCAAATTGGTGAATAAATTCCAGAACATCATCTGATACTTTGTCACTCCAGGAAGTATCCACTGATACCTCCCCATCGCCATCTTTTTCTAGTCAGCACACAGTTATCACAGTCAACTAGCCTGACACATACATGCAGCAATGCTGTTTCCACCATACACAGGCCAACATTTACTCCGTCCTCTGACAAATGTTTACACAAAAAACATTCAGAACTCCACAGTCCAGGTACGCCAACAGAATGAACTACATAACAAACTATTACCCAACATGCATGTAAACTCTTTCACTGACTGAAAGCGACTGAAACATATTTTTAGCGGAAATGTGCCGATGATACAGACACATGAACCACGAATGCGAAGGTCAGGGGCGTTTTGTCCGCGTCACTGAGATTTATCACCACCCAGAACACTGGCTAACCGAGTGACGTCCCGCAAGTGTCACACTATACAAACGAAACATGTGTGACTACAATAGGACTGAGCTTTTTCAAAAGATAGTAATGCTAGCCAAAAGAAGAGAAAGGGAAATGCTAGCTGCTGGACTCACTCACCGAACTATAGGCATCCGGACCATCCCATTCTCTAATGAAACTACGTAGAACATTATACGCACAGTATTTCCAACGGTGATTCAAGGCGACTTGCCCGCTACTATCTGTGTGAGACAGAAAGAGTACAATAAATTTTACACCAGTGTTTGAACACCAGACCATCAACCGTTTCTTCGGACACCTAGACCTAGACGCCGTTTAATGGAGCAACATTTGCGGGTTCACGAATGGAAGAAGAAATAATTACAGACACTCGGAATTCTCTTCTTTTGAATATTTCACCTTTCTTCGCGATGACATCTCATCAGGCTACACCAGATACACTTGAGAACACGACATTCTCTAAGCACCCAATTTACCTGCAGGCTACAACAGTTCCATCTGTAACCCCGTGGCCACCTAGAAATGAATGTAGAGACACAGCACTTGATTTTCTGTTCTCAGGCCTTGATCGATGCACGCAAAAACTATGGCTGACAACAAGCACGTTTGGATATTGAAACAGAAGACTCAATGAACGCTATACATTTGCTGTAATTAACTATGCGGTGATTCTCTCCCCCCCCCCCCCCCCTCTCTCTCTCTCTCTCTCCATCTCTCTCTTTCTGTCTAGGCCGATTTATGTATGTATTGGCTGAGCGGTTAATGATTATTATTAGTCATCACTAGTGTATTACTATTGTTAGAACCTAGAAAATGTGAATGCAACCCCTGATGGCTTGCAGAATACATTTTTCAAGCAATGTTACCCTACCACAAGTATGCATCTCTTTCTGAAACCGTCCCTTGGGTGCACCTTTCTACGGCAGTCCTGAATTTTAGTAATACAGTGAGATAGTATTTTGGCTACGGGACACCAGTAGCACACATATATCTTCTTGTATGGAGTCGGCAGTCTAAAACCCAAGTTCAAGGTGTCTCCTTCGTGCCAAAGAACTGCATGGCTGTTGGGTGAACAGTCGTTAACGAAGGCAGTCAGGTCGTTGTTGGGGCGAGGCTTGCTGGTGGATGTAATGTCCTAAATCCTTTCCCCAGCTAATAGTGAGGGTACTGCTGGGGTGACCGTTTATTAACCCTCACATAATGCTTCAGGTCCAAATGGACACTAGGCACTGCCACTGTTTTGAGCCGGGGCAAAAATTTTTGCTTCTGCCAGACTGTGGCCGTAGTTTTTTTTGCTCCATTTGTAGACTGAAGTATATAGTTTCGTTGCCCAGCCTCTGAGTTGAGTGCATGGCGTGACACTGTGAGCTGCAGATTTTATTTGGAATGTTTTTCGACTGACCAACATGGTGGTGTGATTTGTAGATTCAGAAAATGGCGCAATGCCGGTTGTCGCAATATTGGTGGGGCCATTATTTGATTAAAATTGATTACGTGTGCAACTGCTGATCTTTTAATGACTTCTGCTACCATCAATGCTGAACTGCATTTCTAACGTTGGACTGTTTCTGTTAGCACTTCGGATGGCTACCATATGCTTTTAATGCGAGTGTATGCTAGATTTGCTGAGAGAGAAGTTTGCCAGTCTTTCCACAAGGGACTGTGATAAACATTCTGTGTGTTTTTCGTTGGCACAGGAGCGGTGCAAGGATGGGGTGACCCGTTTGCTATGAAGCTGAAATTAAAATTACCAGATTACCAGATCTGCAGCGCTGTTTAAGACATATATATATATATATATATATATATATATATATATATATATATATATATATATATATATATATATATATATATATATATATATATATATATATATATATATATATATATATATATATATATATATATATATATATATATATATATATACTATATATATCTCTATATATATATATATATATATATATATATATATATATATATATATATATATATGATATATATATATACACACACACACACCTACAAGTTGTGAAGTATTGGTGATGGTGGTATGCTGAAAAATTTGATATTTTTTGTATTGCAGCTCCACAGCCATTCTTGATATCAGAATTATCCATGCATCCCAAGAGGCACAGGAGATCATAGCCAGAAAAGCTACCCCTTCGAAGATGACCAAAGAGATTGACGAAGTGACCAGACCAACCTGTGCCTTGCCTGTGAAGATAATCAAAGCCACTTCAAAGGTGCAGCCAGCTTCATCAGGTTGTGGAGTCAACCATTTAGACCTGGCTTATAATAAAAGTGGCTGCAGCCGCAGAGTCTCACCTACAAGTGTTCCATCTAAATTTCATGAGTTGAGTTCAGAGCCTTTGGGTCGGCGAGCACGTGTCAGCAAAAGTGCAAACAGAGAGTCATCAGAATATGTCGCCACTGACATAGGTAAGTTAAATTAACGTGATATGCCATCCAAGATGCAAGTTTTTAGCCCCATGGACAAAGATGGGTGAAATTATAGTAACATTACCCACAGATGGGTTCCAGAATTCTGTGTGTGTGGAGGGGGGTGGGACAAGAATGTACCCACCGCCTCTTTAACAAGCGTATCGTAAAGGTTTTCTAATGTGGAAGGGGGGGGGGGGGTTCCTTCTAAATCTGAGTGCGTCTGCCTGAGAGGCTGGGAACCAACAGTATGGTCTGCATACAAGTAAGTCAGATCTGTAAAACAGATGTGTGCACAAAGCTGAAGTTCTAAAACAAGACTAAAGTCCAGAAGTGGACAAATCACCAGAACTTTTCACCAGTTTTTACCACTGGTGAATGCCAAGAAGAAGAGGGAAATAGTAACATTCATCGTCCAAGACTATTGTGGTCATTGGCCAAGCCAGATAAAATGAATGTTATATTTATCAAACAAGATTGTAGTCATTGTCAGAGTCAAGTTAAATGATTGTTAAATTTTAATTTATCCAAGATCTTATTACTAACAACAATAGACAATGGCGTCTCTGGCTTAGGAGTGTACAAACAATTTTCCCAAATATCTGGTTTGATTCAGTTGCCGGCAGTTTGGCATCAGACATCCCTGAGTTGATTTCAGCAGTGGAAGGGAGCCTCAGCCATTTAGAAGGCAATGGCAAACCACTGAATGTAAAATTGCCTAGTAAAACCCCTAACAGCGACAAAAGTGAATTACATTGCATTATTTTGGGACATTTGAACTACAGCTCTGTTTCAACAGAAATAATCTGGTCTCCATCTACTGATGAGTGAAAGCTGAACAGAACTGACCAAGTCACCATGTTTTCCTTACAGACAGGACACTGCAAAGTCAGCAGACACCTATATAAGTTAAATATGAACCAAACAACCCTCTGTCTGTGTCTTCATGCTGAACATACATCAGAACACATCTTGCAAGACTGTCGTCTCCTGGAGGAGCTCGGAAACAACTTGTGGCCTGATCCAATAGACCTGACGACTAAGCTTTAGGGAAACCTGAGAGACCTCGAACTGACATCCCAGTTTATGGCCCACAGTGAATTAGTCGCATGACCAGAGATCACTGAAGAAGAAGTGAAAGGCTGGAAGGCCCTGTTACTAAATATTCAACAGCAGGTATAGCTCTTGTGGTTACGGGGCTACACAAGTTTCTCCCACTGCAGTATAGACAGGAAAGCCGATCTTCGGTTTGCATGTTTGTTCTTACATTTTAAAATATATATTTTGTAGGTGGAATATAAATTATTAAATTAGAACTACAGAACTCCTTTCTTAAATCTGGTTTGTTTCATTTACCTTAGGATAACATTGACATAACACCTGGTTATACTGAAATTATTTTAACATCCGGGGATAGTCATTCAAGTATAATCCATAGTTATTGACCTGTAATACTGTTAATCATATCATGTGGGTTTCAGGGACCCATTTGGGTCCTCCTGTCACCCCCAACAGGCATGTCAAAAAAGTCAACTAATTATGGGTGTATCCTTCAAAGTCAGGGTGCATCTGCCTGCAGCTTAAGGAACCAACAATCTGCGTACGGATAAGTCAGATCTGTATAACAGATGTGCATGCATAACTCAAGTTCTGGAATAAGACCAAAGTCTATAAGTGGACGAACAGCCAGAACTTTTCCATCTGAGTTTACAGCTGGTGAACGCGAAGAAGAAGAAGATACTGTCATTCCATCATGAATATGTGAAAGTATCGACCCTCAGATACTGACCTTCCATACTGATCACTTATGCATTTTTGTTTTAATTCGATAGGTGTCATTAACCAAGGCATTAGCCAAGGAGAGAAATGTCAAAGCATAGCAGACCATCGTGGGAGGAAGACAAATGCAGTAAAGAAAAGTGATAAAAACATTGAGTGCTTTCATGCTCCAGCCAAACCGTTCAAACAGGAATTTGATTTTGAGTCAAACCTAGCTCTTTTTGATAAAAAGGTAGTGTTCCGAGAAATTGAGCATAGGCTTCATGATGTCCAACTGGAGTCTGACCCCAGGGATCGAAGATACAGACATGATGAAAATGTGCTGCAGCCCAGGGAAGACAACTCAACACGTATGAAAAAGATACAACAGCCAGACAGTCCATACACAAATTGTCAATTATATTTTACAGGTAATCTTTTGTACACTTGTATGACTGTTATAGAACTTTAAAGTTTGTGCTGTAGCTGTGAATTCTGGACAATTAATAAACAAGCCAAACAATTTATTGAGGCCTCAAAGGTGTGGTTTTACAGAAGGAGGCTTAAAATTCCTTGGACAGCCAGAATGAGTAACCCAAATATTTTGAGGAAAGTGAGGACCCAAAGACAACTTATGCAGAAGGAGACAGTCATCACTTCTGGTTATGTTATGAGAAGAGAGAATTTGCAGTATGTTATGACCATTGGAAAACTTTGTGGAAAGATAGACAGGGGTAACAACATAGAAGATTCTTTAGTCTTTTTGTCCTAGCATGGAGGGGTGTTAGCACATGAGCTGATACATGCCGTTGGAGATCACAGGGTGTTAAGAGGCCAGATCACCTCTGCTAGTCTGCTAGGCATTTTATGATGATGATGAGTTTTATGCAAACTAGGAAAAAACAGGAAGGTTCACCTGATATATTTTTTTTAATTATAGTCCCTATGTAGGTTCCTGGGACTTCTTTTGATAGACAAAAATAATAGACTCACTGCGGCCCTTTCCCCCAATGAGCATATTGTAAAAGTAAAATAATTAAGGGAGTTTTTGTTTAAGTCGGAGGGCATCTGCCGAAGAGGTGGGGAACCAACAGTCTGCTTACAAATAAGCCAGAACTGTGAAGAAAAATGTACATGCAAAACTCAAGTTCTGGATTAAGACATAAAGTCCAGAAGTAGACGAACAGTCAGAAGTTTCTGCTGGAGTTTACAGCCAGTGTACTTGAAGAAGACAGACGATTTGATCATAGTTTGGTGATTTGCTTCCTCTTTCTTGTAGTAGCCTGAAAACTGTCGATCTCACCACATCTGGGGTATTCATTGGCAGGTGTTAACTGTCTGAAGGTTGAAGGTTTGATTTTAATGTCATTATTCCATATTCTCCTAGGAAACCTCTTGATTTCACGTCAGATCTTTCATGTAAAGATCCTGTATTGGTACTTGTTCTGGCTGCAATCTAACAAGATGACTAAACCATTTGATCTTCTGTCTCAGAATTTTCTGCACTGTGTTGTTCCTCACAACCAGTCTGATTGCATAATTTCTCATATTGTCTCGGAGAAAGTTGTCGGCTTGAATTGGCATCTCATTTACGTGTTATTTTATATAGGAATAATATAGTGTAAAGTTGTTGTTGTTGTTGTTATCGATCCAGCAGCGCATGAGCTTTGGCCCGATACCATGTAGTGAAATTTGCATGTTTTCACAAGCTGTTCTTTTCCTCCGCACAAGGTGTTCCACTTGTCTGGTATCAGAGGGAGTAGCATTCTTCTAGTCTCGCTGAGTTTTGGGCACTCAAAGAGATGGTGTTCAACAGTTTCGTAGGGGTAGTTACATAGCTGGCACTCTGGGGAGTGTTGTGGCTGTATTCTGTTTAGATGTCCATTGAGTGGAGTATGTTGCGTTCTAAGTCTGAAGATGGTGGCCTGGTCCCTTCTTGTTAGATGGTTAATGCTGTCATTAGGATCAGGGCCAGACATATGTCTATAAACCTCTCTTCCAGTGTCTCCCATGGCCCATCTGTTCAACCAAGTCTCTTTGTTTATAGCTCTTATAAGTGTTTTTGCTGTCTGTAGGGTTGTCGCTGTAGGTGATTGTTCTTGTGTTGCTCCTTTCTTTGCCAATCTGTCAGCTCTGTCATTACCTGGTGTGCCGGAGTGGCCTGGAATCCACTGCATCACTATTCTGATTTAGTGTAAAGAGATAGTGTAGAAATATGTTCTGTTTTTAAAGTGAAGTTTTGTGCAAAACAAATTCTATATCTTTGGCAAATGGAAAAAGAATGCTTGCATCTTGCATAGAAACAGTTTAATATGGCTAAGGATTCTAGACAATGAGCAAAAATCAATCACTTTAGAGATGTGCTTCTACAAAAGCTGGATTACAATTCCTTAGCCATTTTAAGTAATCTGAATATAAGAGGCAAAGACATGATCTGCCTAAAAGAAGAAACTTAGTCTCATGCCTGCTCTCCCATGTTGGCCACTTTCCTACCTAAGATGTCACTTATATCTTGTGCCCATCTATGTGGTTTGGCCCCTGTCCCTTTTTCCTGCTACCATACCTTCTGCCATTCTTTCCAGTCCACCATGGGCCTAACTTTAGATATTTTTTTTTTACATGAATTGATGGATCATTACTCCAAGTTGCCATGTATTGTCAGTATTTCACCAGCATTCACCGCCATTTAATATACTTGTTTTCAGTGCAAGATATCAGCTATGTCATTGCTGCTAACTTCCTTTTGACTAGAATGTTCTTCTGCACCACAAGATTGGATGTTTTTTAACTACTAAGACCGCCAACTATTTTAAATCAAGCCTCTTTTCTCAGTATTATGTGATATTGAATCAGATACAGGCCTGGCTGTCCCATCCATCAGTGTAGAAGTGAGAGAAAAAGTGTGTGACACAGCCTCACAGTGTGGACTGACTCATCCCAGGCTGCTTGAAGCATATGGGAGAGGAGCCAGTGAAATGGCAATTCACTTGATTGGGGGAAGTCACAGGTAGGAGGTTAATCATTCAATATGCATTCAGGGTTACAGATGTGATTCCTAATTCTAAAATACCTGGTTTGATTTGGCAGCAGACAGCTTTGCATTGACCTCAACACTGGTATGGAGCATTAGCCATCAGAAAGCAGTGGCAAACTAGAGAGTGTAAATGTGCCTAGCAAAACAACAAACAGCCAACAAATGATGAGGTTTTTCTGACATTTGAAATATTGTAGGAAGCAGTGTGAACCTTATATGTCTTCAAATAGTCATTATTGGTGTGTTTTTTAAAAATATGAAAATGAGTGGGTTGTGTAGGACTAAGAATCAACACTGCAGAACTGTAAGCAGACTCGTGGATACTCCATCTCCCTGGGTATCTGTCATGGATTGTGGATGTTGCCTGCTCCAGTAACATAATGGTTCTGAATACTTTGAATGTATCTACTCTGAAATCAAAGGATCTTAAACAAGTTGTTTGATCTGCTACCATCCTGTGCAATTGGTTGTAGATAGTCATCGAAATGCCTCCTTTATCCATACCAGTTAGACATTAGTACTCTGGTGATGCAGGTTCAAGGCCTTAGTAAAAGGCCCTTTTTTGCCAGAGGCACATTGGGTATATAATGATAGCTATATTTTAATAGACTAATTGGCACTCTTTGGGTGATGTGGTCAACATCTTGCTGACTACCTTTACTTCCCAGAACATTACCTGGGACCCCATTTTATGCTGGGTGGACCTGAGAGCAAGGATATTGAGTAAAATCTGCCTTGATGCAGATTTGAACCTAAAACCTTCAGACTGGCAGGCAGGCATTTAGCTGCTTTGCTACCATGGCTCCCAAGACTTTAGGAAGACCCCAGATAAATTGGACAAAAATGATATAAACAAAAACTAGTGTCGCACTGTGGTTACAACAGTGATAAGCAGTTTGATTTCCTAGACAGACACTAGAAACATCAAACGTATCTTTGCCCACATTGGAAAACAAAATAACAAGCAGACAAACATTGGAAGCACTTTAAGCATGAAAATAAACATAGCAAAGGAATCTGTTAGGAACAGAGGGTCTAGTTTACCATGATGGGAGAACTGTTTTGCATAGGACCTGCTATGTGATGATGATAACATATCCGAGAAGTGCATCGCTTATTAGTTTTGTGTTCTGACCTGCGGATGAGCAGTTGGCTCCATGTTTGAATCCTCTGTAAGGTGATGGATTTTTCTGTCAGGGGCAGAAATAAAACCCCAACCTGCCCAGTCCTTGGCAACTGCAGTAGCCATGGCGGCCTCAGATCCTCAGTGTTTCAAAAACCCTCCTTCACCTCTCCTCCACTCCTCAAGTTCTACACCAGCCAAACAATTTGTAAAGTCAGGCAGTAAAAAGGAAACAATTTTTTTATACTGCTTACATTTGCTCTTCATTGCATTAGCTTATATACATGTGAGTGATTTTTTTTATGTTTCTAGAATACATCCTAAAAACGGCCATCAGGTACCGGCTGTGGTTGTACTTTGTGGTCTTCATGACACTGGGGCTCTGGGCGCTTGTTGTGCACGTGTGCTCTCAGCACATGGAGTTCAAGTGACTGTGCTGATGGAGAACTCTGCAAATATCCCTGTCACTCTCTCACAGGAGATAGAGTTATACAAGTTAACAGGGAACCGACTTATTCATAATGTTACAGGTACAGTCATATTCATTCATTCTTCTGCTTAGCACTGACCGCTGTTAATTCTGGTAGAAAGTTCTGGTTGCTCATCCATGTCTGGACTTTTATCTTGTTCCAGATTCCTGGACTTTTATCTTGATCCAGAACTTGAGTTCTGCGCGCACATCAGTTTTACAAATCTGGCTTATTTGTATGCGTACTGTTGGTTCCTTGCCTCTGAGGAGATGCACTGTGACTTTGAAGTAAACACACCTAATTAGTCGCCTCCTATGATGGCTTGTTAGGGGGGCAGTGTGTCCATTCATTTTGCTACAAAACTGAGACCAGGATCCCACACAGGGATCATTCATTCTGTTCATTAGAATTAACAGCTTAATTTTATGACAGGGCAGATCAGACCCTGGCCTAGGTTGGCAGCTTTTCTAGGAGGGAAGCTCCAACAGGCAGACATACAGAGCACTACTCTTCTTATCCAGCAGCTTCTGCAGAATGCTTTCTTGTAAATGTGTTGGAAGTGCTTTTGGAGTTAACTGCTATAACCCCAGGGGCTGTGATTCCCTTGACTCCCTATAGCAGAGTGAAACACTTACCTTATGGAAGATACTGACAGCATTATTTACGGTAGGCTCATGACATGGCACTTCCTTGGCAAAATGTTCTTTCTATTCACACGTAGAAGTGGACAGGAAAGGCAGAATGTTAGAAAGGCTTGTGTGCCCAGTTCATAACCATTTTAACATAAAGTTTGTTCATTCCCACCCATTGAACCTTTACATCCAAGATGTCAATATTATCCTGTGTCCACTGTTGTGCTGGTCTATTCCTGCTTCTTTTTCCACTGCAGTTTTGATCATTCATAGGAAGATATCTTAAATTTATTAAGGTAGAGTATAATAGAAAAGTATCAAACCAGATGCTAGAAATACAGTTTGCTTGAGCAGATCTTTTTAAAACTTGTAATATAAATTTTTTTCTCTATTTGGGCAGGAAACGCCACATTCTATGCCCAGTTTAGGAGACAGGCTGGACGTTTTCCCTTTCCAGCCACCTTTCACCCCAAAAATTTCTGGAAATCATCTGGCACTCATGTTATTAGGTTGTGTGCCCAGTTCATAACCATTTTAAAATAAAGTTTGTTCATTCCCACCCATTGAACCTTTACATCCAAGATGTCAATATTATCCTGTGTCCACTGTTGTGCTGGTCTATTCCTGCTTCTTTTTCCACTGCAGTTTTGATCATTCATAGGAAGATATCTTAATTTTATTAAGGTAGAGTATAATAGAAAAGTATCAAACCAGATGCTAGAAATACAGTTTGCTTGAGCAGATCTTTTTAAAACTTGTAATATAAATTTTTTTCTATTTGGGCAGGAAACGCCACATTCTATGCCCAGTTTAGGAGACAGGCTGGACGTTTTCCCTTTCCAGCCACCTTTCACCCCAAAAATTTCTGGAAATCATCTGGCACTCATGTTATTAGGTTGTGGCCCCCCCCCCCCCCCCCCCCCAATCCCCGGCCTTTTCCCATAGTTGGTCAGAAGAGTGGAATAGCAAAACATTAAAAAAAAATTGTTTTTCTGCATACTGTAACAAAATTATTTTCTTGGTTTATAATTGCACATGTATTTGCTATAGATATTTGTGGTTTGTAATCTTTTTATGATACTAAATAATGGTTTCCTCATTTGTTTGTTTATTTCTTAGACTTGCCAAGTACCATAGACTTAATTGTGACAGCGCTGGATTCGCCAGCCAGCCCAGCCTACAGCCAGCTGCCCTGGTACCAAAGTATTGTTGCCCACATTAAAACCAGTGATATCAGAGCTCAAATGCTAGCCTTAGATCCACCGTCTGAAGGCCCAGGCATTGCTGCCAGGTAAGTGTGCACCTTCCTGGTGTCGGTTCCTGGCCCCAAAAATAAACTCAATGCTCTCAAATAAACTCAATGTAGTAAAGTAAAGTGACGAATTAGGGGCGCTTCCTTTGAAGTCAAAGTGCATCTTCGAAATAATGGAAGCAGAGCTAGAAGGTGAGCATGCTAGCGATAGATAAATGGAACATCCCAGGCTGTGTCTACCAGTATTTGTGTAGCACATACTGAGGCTGGCACCTGATGTCTCTTCAAAGCCTAATCCTGAAAGCCACAACATGGCTAGAGAGGGGAAAGGAAAAGACAGAGAAGGGGCAGTGTGTGAGTGTTGCTGAGAGGTTGTGATGTATGTCTCTGGCTTGTACAGACCAGGTTTGATGCTTAACTGTGGGTTTTTGAAGATAAGGATGGTACACTCCTGTATTCCTTGTGTTAGCAACAGATGTCTCCATATTGACACCATTAGACATAGTGAATAAGGATTTGAACAATGGATCAACATAATGGCACACGGGTGTAACCCATAAGTGCTCCCTCCGTTCTTCTAACTCAAGTCTGAGTCCGAAGAAGCTCAACACATGCTCTGTAACATTGGCTAGGATCCTGAAATACTTTGGGTAGATTTTTAATTCCAAATTTTTGCTCGGGCAGCGCCATTAGGCTACTCTTTTCGATTTCCAACTGCCAAGGGATTTTTTATGTGCGCAACAACGTGTGCTGGCGTTCGATCTCACTACCCGAAGACCAGGGGGAATTACTAGAAGTCCAAGTCCATGTGAAAAAGATCCCAGCCCTTACCAGGGATTGAACTCTAAACCTCTAGCACTGGAGGTGGATACCATGCCTTGAGACCACGCAGCCCCCTCAAACATAGTGAATAAACAGTGCTAGCTTGATTACTGTCTGCCTCTTGCTCTCTTGCCTTCAACCTTTCCCTTCACTGTTGTTTTTAATATGATTAAAGTGTTCCATTTTTCTCTCGCTCTTTCTCTTTCTCTCTCTCTCTCTCTCTCTTTCTCTCCCTGTCCCCGCCCCCCTCTCTCTCCCCCCTCCTCTCTCTCTCTCTCTCTCTCTCCCTGTCCTCACCCCCTTCCTCTCTCTCTCTCTCCCTGTCCCTGCTCCCTCTCTTTCTCTTTCTCTCTCTCTCTCTCTCTCCCCGCTCCTCTGTCTCCCCCCTCTCTCTTCCTGTCCCCCCTCCCTCCCTCTCTCCCCACTCTATCTCTCTCTTTCTCTCTCTCTCTCTTTCCCTGTCCCCACCCCCTTCCCCCTCTCTCTCTTTCTCTCTCTCTCTCTCTTCCTGTCCCCCCTCCCTCCCTCTCTCTCCCTGCTCCCTGCCTCTCTCTCCCCCCCCTCTCTCTCCCCCCCTCTCTCTTTCTCTCCCTCTCTCTCCCCCCTCTCTCTCCCCCCTCTCTCTCCCCCCTCTCTCTCTCTCTCTCCCTGTCCCCCCTCCCTCTCTCTCCCATCTCTCTCTCTCTCCCCTCTCTCTCCCCCCTCTCTCTCCCCCTCTCTCTCTCTCTCTCCCTGTCCCCCCTCCCTCTCTCTCCCATCTCTCTCTCTCTCTCTCTCCCTGCCCCCCTCCTCCCTCCCTCTCTCTTTCTCTCTCTCCATCAGAAACTCATTTTATTCCTAGTCACTTCAGAAGCTCAGTATTTGATTGTGTGTTTGTTTCTATGAAATACAACCTGCTCTTCTGTGCGTGTGTGTGTATATATATATATATATATATATATATATGTGGGTGTGTGTATATATATGTGTGTGGGTGTGTGTGTCTATATCCATATCTCCCAAAGACTCAGTTTGATTGTCTGAATGTTTGTTCATTCAAAATTAGAACATCCATCCACAAATAAATATTTATAAAGAGTATGATTCTGTTGTCTATGCATTTGAGTCCTGTCTGTTGCTATGAACATTTGTGCACTGGACTGGGGTTCTCCTTGTATGATCAATGGGAGAAGACTAATACTTACAGAAACATTTGTCATGGCTGTCCCCATGTGGGGTCTAAGCCCCATGTGGGGGGGGGGGGGTATAGATCTGCCCCATAAGGCAAATAATGAGGGGTTGGTTTGCACAGCAAGGAGTAGGATGTTTAATAACTAAAATATTTACTTTAAATTACACTCTATTAACTGATTTCTGTTACTTGCTACTTAATGTCCATATCTACATCTTAGCATATTGGTCCAGTCCATTCTTTCTCCTTCTTCTAATGCAGTGCCATATTAAGTTTTTCACTTTCATTATACCTGGTAGGAATTGATTGACATATCTTGTGACTTTGCACTGCAACCAGTTCCTGCATTTCCATTTCCAGCAGGTTCATCATCCCTTATTCCCGTGTCTCTGGAAATCAGTGCATTCAATATGTCTGAACTGTGCATACTTCTTCCTCTACTAACTACTGTAGACAAAAGCCAGTCTGTCAGCTCTTTTATTTCCTGCTCTCTTATTTCCTTTCACCCTTGCATGTTAAATGTCTTTGCAGGCTGGAAAAATTAAATGGTGTAACAAAATTACTGTGTTTGAAGGAACCATTGAACAGACTTTATTTATTGTGAAGTTTAAAGCGATAAATAAATAAATTGTAATGAATCAAGAATAGAGGTCAAGAAATCAATGCCGGATAGAAACACACCGAGAATACCTGATAATAGTATAACTAGAATGTTCTTGCACTGGAACCCACAGGTCTAAAAAGATAACAGTAGTAGAAAATTAGAGACTGACATGAAATTATGGTCATGTTGTTGAGAATCAGTTCAGTATTAGGGAATAAAGCGAATCTGAAGTGCTTACAATTATGTGTGACTATAACATTCAAATTTAACATATTGCAACTGTTTTTCTGGAGGGATTTAGTATGCTTTCTACATGCATCTTTCTTCGATTCTCTTCCTCCCTTTCTTTATATTTTCGCCGTGATATTTGTAATCATCTTCGCAGCCTTCTGTCACCATTACTATCAATTCTAATACAGATTTAATTCCATGCAAAACCGTCCGACCACTCCTCTCTTTATCTTCCCCTGCTTTTTCCCCCCTGCTCCAACTTTTCCATTGTCAGAATGCATTCCAGTTTTTCCCCTTCTCACTGTGTGTTCAAAGTATGTAGACTGTCTTCTTCTTATGCTCAGAATCAGTTCTCTTTGTGAGTTAATTTCTTTCAAGACATCTTCATTATGATGATTATAGGGCTTTAGTGACCTCAACATTCCATAAAACCACATCTCTGCATTGTCTACATACCGGCTACCAGTCTATAATTTGTCCATAATCTCGTCATTATCTAACAGGTCCTTTGCAGAACATCACTCTTCATCACAATCTGTCTGAAAAAAAACTAAGTCTCTCACCAGCTCTCCCACCTCATGTACATTCATGCCCAGGAAGTCGCTTATATCCTGTGCACATCTACATGCTGGTCTGCCTCTGCCCCTCCTTCCTGATACCGTGCCTTCTGCTGTTATTTTTTCCAGTCTGCTATGGCGCTTGAGATGGCCAAGATATTTCAGTCTCAGACAAAATGCTATTTAATAAAGTTCATAATTTAGCATTCCATAATCTAGAGCTGCAAACACTTGGTGTCACCAACTGGAAAGAGAAGGCAATGGTAAGGGGGTAAATGTAGGTGGGTGATATCTGCAGCGATAAAACTCAAGGGCTCGGAATGCTGAAGAAGACAATAAACTAACAGCCTGTAATTCATTTCCGTACATCAGGATTGATTCATGCCTAGCTGTTAAGAACCTGTTTTTCTCACCTTTGACACACCCGGCTGACTTTGTGTTGTATATATCCACAGGTGGAGCCTGTGTAAAGTGTTGCCACTACATCATATGGCTTCCACGTGTGGAAGCTTGTACCTCTGTGATCTCAGCATTCCATCTGCCATATTTAACAAATGTGGTATCACATATTTATCACCTTTTGGATCCAAGTTTGTTATTCCTCTCTATGGCAAAGACTAGCCTTCAAGGTTTTAAGAAATAATATGGAAAATAACAGCAGTTGATCTGCACTTATCGAAGTATATAGTTTGTTTCAAATGGATTGTAATCTTAACAAAAGATAATTAAATAATTTTTAAGGTGCCAGTTGATGACTTAAAAAGGAACATGATATTAGAAAAGAACTATACAAATTCCAGTGCATCTGTAGGTGAGGAAAAGTTGCTGTGTTTTTTAAAATAATTTTTAGGTCATATATTGCAAAGGAAAGCCTTATAACAATATAGATAGAAGGTCCTTACAATGAAGAGTTAAGACAGATAGACACACAAAAACATGGAGAAAAAGAGAAGGAGCTGAAAAAGATGTGGATGACGAAGGCCAAAAATATGACAACTTGGCATGAGTTGGTTGACAGTCTGTACTCCACTGAGATATAAAGGGCAGGAGAGAAAAAAGGTACATTTGACTGTTCATTGATATACACTTGTAGCAAGTCAGTTTACTTATTTATAAGTGACAAGATTGCAATCTAGCTGTGAGCTTAGTTTTCACCTTTTCTGTTAACTAAAGTGTTCGCTGATTTCTGCTTTGTACCTGTGTTTTCTGTTAATGCTGTTTGAGGACTTTAATTTCAAAGACCTTTTTTATGGGGTGCTCAGTGATTGATATTTCAGGGTATTACATAACATAAAGTTTTTTATGACCTGAAATCCCTTCTTTTAGCTAAAAGTATGTTTTTCTTCATCTTCTTGACATTTTTTGCGGATGCTACCAACTATTTTTTTCCAATACCCTTTTAGGATCCAGTTTTATATCATCTAAATTCTTTATGCAGTATATTATGATTTTATCCACTTAAAAAAAACATGAAACCTGTTGACTCTCAATTGTAAACTAATAAAAATGAAGTTCTTTATGTTTGTATTGTTTTAAGGATCAAATAAATCTTATTCCTGAGTACATTTATAATAGTGTCTTCAAATTATGTTACTTGTGCTTAATTAAATCAAGAATCAGTGTTTTTATTGTGTAACATGTGTGCATTGAATCTGCGATACCAAAGCCTTTATAAGCATTGTTTTTAGTACAGAGAATGAAGTTAAATCCAGGTTTTTTTTTATATAAATGACTATTTCTACTGTGATTTGTCATAAGTGTATGTCAATTTCAGTGTAAAAGTATTATGTTGAGTGCAAAAAGTGATGATATTGCTGTAAGATACACTGCTTTTTCAGTCTTGATATTTTGAATGCGTACTACTAAATCAGACTTGATCATTTATAAAAGACATTGAGATGAATGAGATGATACAGATGAAATTTTACTTAAGTTTTTTTAGTCTTTCAATGTGGCATATGCATCAAAGATATAAATGAATGTAATGTTTGGTAATTGTGTGTGTGTTTTATTATGTTATGTTACACTTGTTTGCTGGGCATATATTTACTCTTTTGCCCTTAGAAGCTGCAAATATGGCACCGCTGGCTGTGGCTCAGTCCCGATAAGAGGTCAGGATAAGAATATATTCCCTCAAAATAGCCTTTCAGTGGGGTTTTGTTGGGAACTAAATGGCTATTTTAAAGCCGTTTTGACATGTTTTCCCGCAGCCTTAGTGATAGAATTGCAGTGTGAACATGGTATGAGTCACCAAAAACATTTTTAGGCCTTATTTTTAATACCAAATAACTCACCATGCTTTTAGTTGATACTTTTTTTTTTTTTTTTACATAAAACACATTTTTTTTCCAACTCCTTTATCATTTTATAACTGGTACTCTAGTAAGTTCTGTCCAAATTCTGTCAAGTCAAGCAATATCTTGAGGCTTCAGAGAAGGGGTTTTGCAAAAGGATGCTTTGTATTCTTTGGACATCCAGTATGAGTAACCATCATGTTTTGAAAGAGGTGAGGGCCAAAGACACTGTCAAAACATCAGTGTGAGTCAGTCAAATGTTTGTGTGTGTGTGGGGGGGGGGGGGGGTGTTTTGCTATGGCATGAGAAGAGGAAATTTGGAACATGTTGTGATCACTGCAGAGATTTAATGAAGGAAAGCTAGAGACGATGACATGAGAAGACATGAGCAAGTTTCTTGGCAACACTGCTGTTATTAGCATGGAATGGCTTGATCACCCTACACCAGTCAGCAAACTGATACGTGCTGTTGGAGATTGCAGGTTATGGAGAGGCTTGATCAACCCACACCAGTCAGCAAACTGATACGTGCTGTTTTGGAGAGGCTTGATACCAGTGCAAACTGATACGTGCTGTTGGAGATTAGGTTTTGGAGAGGCTTGATCAACCCACACCAGTCAGCAAACTGATACGTGCTGTTGGAGATTACAAGTTATGGAGAGGCTTGATCAACCCATATCAGTCAGCAAACTGATACGTGCTGTTGGAGATTACAGGTTATGGAGAGGCTTGATCAACCCATATCAGTCAGCAAACTGATACGTGCTGTTGGAGATTGCAGGTTATGGAGAGGCTTGATCAACCCACACCAGTCAGCAAACTGATACGTGCTGTTGGAGATTGCAGGTTATGGAGAGGCTTGATCAACCCATACCAGTCAGCAAACTGATACGTGCTGTTGGAGATTGTTTTGGAGAGGATTGCACCCATACCAGTTGCAAATGATAGATGCTGTTGATACAAATGGAGAGGCTTGATCAACCATATCAGTCAGCAAACTGATACGTGCTGTTGGAAATTGCAGGTTATGGAGAGGCTTGATCAACCCATACCAGTCAGCAAACTGATACGTGCTGTTGGAGATTGCAGGTTATGGAGAGGCTTGATCAACCCATACCAGTCAGCAAACTGATACGTGCTGTTGGAGATTGCAGGTTTTGGAGAGGTTTGATCAACCCACACCAGTCATAGCAAGACACATGACGGTTCTCACTTTTTTTGTTGGCTGTTGCCCATCTGTTTCTCACCTGCCTCTGTTTGATTATATCAGATATGCTTGACCCTTTGGGATTCTGTTCATTTTCAGAAATTGTATTAGTGGAGAATATTCTACATCAATGTAACATGCATACTGAATCCATGATTGTACACAAATATTATATCTGTGGCTTAGGGGTTAAAATGAGGGTTTCATAACTCTGATAGACATGATTCGATTCAGCTTCAGGGAATTTAGCAGAACTTTCTACTGATTGTGACTGTGATATAAGCATCCACCATATGGGACTGTTTCGTTTATATCTATAATTTTTTTTTTTAAACTATGACATCTCAGTAAAGGATTCTCCCCCCCCCCCCCCCCCCCCCCCCCCCCCACACCAAGATAGATCAGGAGCATATCATTGATTTTCTATTCACGATATTCAGGTGTACTGCATAATAAGCAGGCTGATAGATTTGCTGCTGCCATTCCTCTTGTTGTTGAGCTACTTTATGATAAAGCAGATGTGGTGACAGCTCTCTGGGATCAGATGGTCCATGCACTGTAAGACTTATTCAGTCAGGAGTGAATAGAGGTTTTGGAAGATATTTCAACACTGAGAAAGGAGACAGAACATATGCAGTGGTGTCAGTTCTATTCATTCATTCCCATATGTAATTTATTGAAAGGTCATTCTTCACACTTTGAAACATATGGTCATTACTAAGCTTTTCATCTTTACTTCCCACACAATGTAGTGGTAGCCATTTTAAGCTCATTTGACAAGATCACCTAGGTCATAGAAATTATTGAACATTGTGAATTTAAATCTGTGACCATTGGGCAATGGGCAGCCATGTTAACCTCTGCATTGCCTTGCAATCTTGAGAAAATTATTCAGTTCTAGTGTGTCCCTGTTTATATCCATCTACATGCACCCTAATATGTGTTGCCTTAATAGTTAGCTGAGGTGGTTAGGCTGTTTGCCTCACACTGTGAAGAACTAGAAATTCCAGTGCATCTGAAGGTGAGCAGAAGTTGCTGTTTGTTTTTTTTTTTTTTTTTAGGACAGATTTTGCGAAAGCCTTATAACAATATAAACAGAAGGTCCTTAAAATGTAGAGTTAAAAGAAGACAGTTAGACCCCATAGCACAGTTTTTTCAGAGACCCCTGTGGAACATCACCAAAGCTATGGTGTTTGTGTTTTGTGCGATGCTCTTGTCAAGACCATATAGCTGTTCTGAAGAATGAGACTGGACCAGTGGTTAAAAGAAGGCTAAACATATTATAGAAGAAAAGAAGGAGGTAATACCTAAAGCAGCCACCAAGCAAGCAATCAAAGCACTTCTCCAGTTACAAACAAAAGGAAAACACACCAGAAATATTTACACAGTTGCCCGACATTATTATGGAATAAGACCCTGCTTTTGAAGGGGAAGTCTTCTTCCACTGTATCCTCTACCTTTTACCTGTGCCAGCAACTATCATCTACAAAAGTTAAATTATAATGTATATTTTATATACAAAAAATGTTGGCTACCCATAAATTAAAAAATACAAAAACTATCTTTTTGGAGGTGGGTAAATGGATTAATTAAATGTGCATTAACTGCTGGTAACAGTTTAGGGTTGCAAAAATTTCGGCTCGCTAGCAGAGTCAAAGAACAAAATAAGTTTGTGACCCAACTTACCACTATGTATGTTATAATTCAACCTTTACTGCAAGGCTGTTCAACTGGCAGCCCACATAGGTCTAGCCTGTGGCTCATAGATCCTTGCCAGCTGTATTAGTTGTGATGATCTTTCTATACTGGAGCTCGGACCTCTAGCCTGCCACAAACCGCTTTTTACAATTTTGACACATGAGAAAAACTTGAATAGCATTGCTTCACTATATACATATAAATGTAAAATACCGGTACTATTTTATATGTGTATATATATATTTATTTTTCTAAAGCAAAAAATTAATTAGTCTCTTTTTCAGCTTTGTATATTGCTTGTTAGATAGTCACTTTTTTTTCAGATTTGTCTATTGCTTGTTAAACAAAGTTATCAATATCAGATTTATATTTAACTGCCAATAGCATTTTTGTTAACAACCCAAGCATTGACAGCCCTGTAT